GTTAGAATATATCATGTCTACAGACAACTTAAATGAAACTTCATAGTAAAAATGAATGCTGCACTAAAGGTCATAATTACTGCTTATTTTTTTTTGTACTTTTATACTTTCTGTACATGTTTATTCATAGAAGGAAGTGTACACCAGGAGTGATCACGATGTGGAGACTGTCTGACATGTTTCTATTTTGACACAAAATGACATGGTCTGGCACTCCTCAGTAACTGGCTAATGTTTAGATCTTAAATGTCATCACACAACCAGAAAATGCATACACACCTCTAAATTACATTTGATTGATAACTTTGTGTAGGGGAGAAAATGTGCAGTGTTGAGTTTGAAATTGGGGATGTGTTGTTTTGTAGATGACACAAAATATAACCCTGCCATTTCATACAGGAACATACAGCATTGCCTGTGTCTATCCAGTCTCCATTCTTGTCCTTGTCACCATACAGAATCATTGTCTTCTCTCTAGCAGATTTATTTCTGTAGAGATTTTATTCCTTTTTGAAAACATCATACAAAGGTCATTCATAGCAATACATGTACCCTGGATAAGGTTTTATACTTAATGTGACGGAGACATTAGTGTAAGCACTGATGTGAAAACCTAATTACTGAAAGGTTGTATATTAATGTGATGGAGACATTAGTGTAAACAATGATGTGACAACCTGCTGACTGAAAGGTTGCACACATAATGTGACAACCTACTGACTGAGAGGTTGTACACTTAATGTGACAGAGACATTAGTGTAAGCACTGATGTGACAACCTACTGACTGAAAGGTTGTATATTAATGTGATGGAGACATTAGAGTGAACAATGATGTGACAACCTGCTGACTGAAAGGTTGTACACTTAATGTGACAGAGACATTAGTGTAAGCACTGATGTGACAACCTGCTGATTGAAACGTTGTACACTTAATGTGACAACCTACTGACTGAAAGGTTGTACACTTAATGTGACAACCAACTGACTGAAAGGTTGTACACTTAATGTGACAGAGACATTAGTGTAAGCACTGATGTGACAGCCTACTGACTGAAAGGTTGTACACTTAATGTGACAACCTACTGACTGAAAGGTTGTACACTTAATGTGACAATCAACTGACTGAAAGGTTGTACACTTAATGTGACAGAGGCCATATGTAAGCACTGTTGTGACAACCTACTGACTGAAATGTACACATAATGTGACGGAGACCATATGTAAGCACTGATGTGACAACCTACTGACTGAAAGGTTGTACACTTAATGTGACAGAGACATTAGTGTAAGCACTGATGTGACAACCTACTGACTGAAAGGTTGTACACTTAATGTGACAACCTACTGACTGAAAGGTTGTACACTTAATGTGACAACCAACTGACTGAAAGGTTGTACACTTAATGTGACAACCTACTGACTGAGAGGTTGTACAATTAATGTGACAACCTACTGACTGAGAGGTTGTACACTTAATGTGACAACCTACTGACTGAGAGGTTGTACACTTAATGTGACAACCTACTGACTGAAAGGTTGTACACTTAATGTGACAGAGACCATATGTAAGCAGTGATGTGACAGCCTACTGACTGAAAGGTTGTACACTTAATGTGACAGCCTACTGACTGAAAGGTTGTACACTTAATGTGACAGAGACCATATGTAAGCAGTGATGTGACAACCTAAAAAAAAATATCAACAGTACAGATAATTACCGGTGTGCTGGGTTTAATGTCAAAAGTATTTCTGGTTTAAGTTGTTTCCATTGGGTCTAGAAAATTGTTTAACATTAGCTGGAAAATAATCATATTAATAGATAGTTTAATCCTATGGTCATGTTAGCCGCTATTTTGATGAAAAAATGATGAAAAAAACAAAATAGTTATGATAAACCTTGCCTTCTTCTTATTAAGATAAAAACTATTTTTGGAAATTCCCTTTCTATTTTTAGATGCTTGAAATATTTTTCTTATGACCCATGCTTTCGTGAAAAACTTCTGCAATGATACATACGTATAGCTTAACTCATTATATATGTATGTCACTTGTCTGCTGTTTATGATATAAAGGTATATGAATGTTTAAGAATATATGAAATTACAGATTAAATATGATATTTTAAAGGGTCAACAGGTATATATATCTTGGTGCAAATATGATAGAACAGAAAATGGTGTGTTGTAAGGCAGTATAATTGCACTTTAGTGCTTTGTTAAGTTGGAATGTGACATTTAATATACCAGGCAGTTTTTTTTCTTCTTTTTGAATCTTATCCTTCAGGCCTGCTCAGCTTGATGCTACGTTTTGTGGCAATTTTATTTGAAAATGTTAGATTATCACTTCAATGGATAAAACTTTTTTATGAAGTTTGTGTCTAGTGATTGCTACAATGAACAACTATTAAGCATATTGCTAACTTTGGTTAGATAATGAAGGTAAATAGCAGAAAGAATTTGATGACAGTGGTTTAACTCAGGTTAGAAATGTATTTTGAGTAATGTAGAATGAATTATAATGGAGGCTGTTAGCTTCCCATGTAATGATAGCAGTATACATATCATTATTGTGATGAATCAGCTGTGAGGAATTTGTTGTGTATTCAAAATTTTAGCCTGGAGATGTTGTTCAGTAAGGTCCATCACTGCTAGAGTCTCAGCCAGTATGTCATAGTATATGTTGTTATTTCACCATTGGCTCATCGCAATTAAATATGCTAACTATGTACTAACAGGCAATGGAATGCTTATGTGAGGTTTTGAAGCAGTTTTGAGATGTCTTTCACAATTTACATAAAAGGATATCAAATTCTTGTGAAAAGGAACATTAAGTGACTAATTAATATATACGAAGATGTCTGATTCATTTTTAAGATTTTCCAAACTGTAATATAATGCAGAAACCGACGCAGTGGCACCAGTTTGTGCAGTGTATACATTGACAGATCAGATCTAGTGTGTCCTTTCATATGGTACTACAGTATATATACATATTCTGTTTTTTACCTGTTTTCAATGTTATTGGGTCAGGGCATCCATAATCACATTACTTCAAGTTTATAGAAGGGACACCACTGAATCATACACAGAGGGAAAAGGTTTGTCCATCCACCCGCTAATTGTTTTCATGGCAAAATGCATGGTATTGTAAAGGGCCACAAATCCATGTTGAGGAGTTATATAGGCATCAGGCCCACAAGTCCCAAAGGACTACACAGTCCATATAGTGGCCATATACAGACATCAGGCCCACATTTATTCCAAAAGTTCACAAATCCATATAGAGAACATATTTAATCATCAGGCCCACAAGTCCCAAAGGGCTACACATTCCATATAGAGGACTTTAGGCCCACAAATCCGAATAGGCCACAGGTCCATATAGAGGACATGTACAACCATCAGGCCCACAAGTCCCAAAGGGCTACACATTCCATATAGAGGACTTTAGGCCCACAAATCCGAATAGGCCACAGGTCCATATAGAGGACATGTACAACCATCAGGCCCACAAGTCCAGCAGCTTGCAATAGGCCACAAGTCCATATAGAGGACATGTACAACCATCAGGCCCACAAGTCCCCAAGGGCTACACATTCCATATAGAGGACTTTAGGCCCACAAATCCGAATAGGCCACAGGTCCATATAGAGGACATGTACAACCATCAGGCCCACAAGTCCAGCAGCTTGCAATTGGCCACAAGTCCATATAGAGGACATGTACAACCATCAGGCCCACAAGTCCCAAAGGGCTACACATTCCATATAGAGGACTTTAGGCCCACAAATCCTAATAGGCCACAGGTCCATATAGAGGACATGTACAACCATCAGGCCCACAAGTCCAGCAGCTTGCAATTGGCCACAGGTCCATATAGAGGACATGTACATCCATCAGGCCCACAAGTCCAGCAGCTTGCAATTGGCCACAGGTCCATATAGAGGACATGTACAACCATCAGGCCCACAAGTCCCAAAGGGCTACACATTCCATATAGAGGACTTTAGGCCCACATATCCTAATAGGCCACAGGTCTATATAGAGGACGTGTACAAACGTCAGGTCCACAAGTCCAGCAGATTGCAATTGGCCACAGGTCTATATAGAATGTCTGATACAGGTAATAGGTCTACACATTGAAGGCCCAAAATTCATAAAATTCATCATTTGTACATGTATTCAGGGGCCTACCCACATCCAACCACAATGTACTTCAGGTTCTATAAAGGTCTACACCTGAAAGGATTTTTGATGGTCATTGGTCAAGGTTAAAGGTCATAGATCACCCCTTTAGAATTGAAAAGTTATTTGGTGAATCTTTGAACAGATATGGTTCATATTTTCACCATAGCATCATACTAACAAGATCTGAATCTGATAGATTTTGATGTTCATTTGTCAAGGTTAAAGGTAAAAAATCACCCATGACCACTTTAGAAATGAAAAAAGCTTGTGCACACGATATCTGATGAACTCATGAACATATTTGGTTCATATTCATGCCACACCATTGTTGAACCATGTTACACATGGTTAGATTATAGTGGTATCGACCAAGGTCAAAGATCACCCTTGACAACTTGAAATAAAAAAATGTTGTGTACAATATATCTCACAAACCTTTCAACTGATTTGGAGTAATTAAAAATATAATTGTATAAAAACAATGTCCACTTACATCCTGATCAAGTGGTGTGGGATGTATCTATTTGAACCCCTGTTCACTTTGTTTTTATCAAGTTTGTTTCAAATTAATTTGCATTTTGCTTCTTTTCCATTAAAGCAAAACTCTCCTCAGGTTTGTAGTTTGGTTATCATGTGTTTTAATGAAATGTTTTGATGAATGTGGTTTTTTTTTTTTTTTATTGATACCGATAGACTTTGACCCAGATAGGAAATGAAAGCTGTTAGCATGGTCAACAAAAACAACCACATCCTATTGATAAGGTGAAGATTGGAACACTTGGATGATGTGTATTTTTTTTTTTTTTTGACAGGACCACTATATTCTGAAAATGCATATCAAGATGGTACATATGCCAGCTGAGATCCTGTTTGAGTGCACTGTCTGCTCCAAGAAGTTCACAAGGAAGGCCCATCTAAAGCGCCACCTAAGGATTCATGAGCCTGAAAAACCCTTCAAATGTCCTCACTGTGATTACAGGTATGCAGGTGTCACTCGTAGACATGGAACTAGGTATCAGTCACCAGATGACTAGGCCAGCTATGATCTGGTAGGACAGGTGTATTTTACTATTCATCTTGATGTAGACATGTACTTAGACAACTTCACATTCTTCATCAGTCAGACCTGTGGGAAAACAATTTCAAGGGGAAAAGTTGATGTCTCCAACATTTAGTATGAGATAAGTCCATGTCCTGCTGTCCTTGTACCACACCTTCAATGGAGTTGATGACACTTTTGTGTGTCAGTACTGTGATGCCTCACACAGGGACAAGGCTGCATTCAATAGAACATATTAATCAAATATCTTCATTTCCAGTCTGATTTAGACGAAAAAGTACTCAAATGTTCAGTACTAAACACCTTGAAATACTGAGAGGTAATGACCTCAAGTCTGGGTAACTATTAGATAATAAAAGTATGTGTGAATTTAGATATGAAAATAATGTCTAGCCATTATTTTCTGTCTGATTTTGATGGAAATGTAACAAAATATAAATTCCTCTACCACTGAATGCACTTTAGGACATCTTTGTGTCACATCGTAAAATTAGGCTGCTGTGACCATGTCTTGGAGTTTTGACCTCAATCATGCAGATAATACTAGTAAAATGTATTAATTCATATTTCTAAAGGCAGCCTGCTGAGAGGAAACTATAGCTTACTGTACAATACTTTATCTTGTCAAAGATCAACACTGATAATCATCTCCGTACTCAATTCAACATGCTTCACCAAACTTATTACCAAGATTTGTCCCCAAAAAATGATAAGGACTGTACTAAAAGGCACACAAGCGAATAACATCATTCAGTACATCTTAAGAATTAGATAAAATAGATTCTAATAATGAATTAAACTGCATCATGCATCTGTTTTGTTGAGAATTGGTCAGTGATGACAAGGTCCTGAATTTTGAAACCTAGGAGGCAACAGACTGAAATTGAATGAATGAAATGTCAAAAATCGAGATGGAGAGGTGCACTTGCCCCCTAAACTAAATGATAGAATTAAGCTTATCATTTGTTTTATTTGGTAAATCTTTAATTAAAGGATTGATCACATCATATGTGGTAGGTAAATGCAGGGGTTTTCGTGATATTTGTGTGTCTCACTGAGAAAATAAAAAAACCCTTTCCCAGCTGATGTGGAATTCCGACCTTTACTTCGCCATTTACCTGTTGGGATCAGACAGATATTTTTTTTCAAACAAAAGAATTGTACTAGTGAATCAGTGCAATGTATCAGCCCTTATTATGTCACCTTAGATATATCTTTATTTTTTACTACAGATAGTAGTATACAATTGTCACGTTTCCTGTCACATTAATCCCCGAAAGGAGTCCAAATTTTACCCAGATATGATTTTATTTAGTCGGGACCAGATTTGTTTTGGATGCTATTTACTGTTAAACACTGATAATTTTTTCACGGAAAGAAGAGTTTAAGACATAAGTAAATGCTGGTTAAATTTATTTTAATATAATTAAAATTATTTTCTGAATGATCTAATTGGAATCAATATTTCCTCATTGAATGTTTTAAATTAGAGTTTTAAAACATTTTTCATTGTAAGTAAGCATCCCCTTAATTCTGTGTATGATTACAATAAAAACAAGTTGTAATAAGGTATGTTTTTTTTCATGTGTTAAGGTAAGTAGATAGGTATATTGTGTTGTTCATATGTTACGATTAATGATCTACAGATGCTTCTACCTCTCAATGAAAAAATAAAAACATGATACCTAGCATTTAAAGTTGTTGGAGGAAACAAAATATGGTATTTAGGTTCAACATGATTCTGCTAAGTACCCAGCCTATTTGCCTGGGTGTATGGAGTCAATATTATAGAGGTCAATGGTCAGTCCACTGGGCGAAGGTTGGGGCGGTTATTACTTTGTTTGAGAGGGCAGGTAGGCAGGAAACCAGAGATTAAGTTACATGTCACTGAGGTGAAATCAGGCCATGCTTAAAATGTTCTTGGTTAACTGTCCATTCTGTTGTATTATAACCCTAAAGTCAAGTAGGATTGAAATACAACCACAATAAAAATATTTGTGATTTACTGTCTATTCTGGTGTATTATAACCCTAAAAAAGTAGGATTGAAATACAACCACAATAAAAATATTTGTGATTTACTGTCTATTCTGGTGTATTATAACCCTAAAAAAGTAGGATTGAAATACAACCACAATAAAAATATTTGTGATTTACTGTCTATTCTGGTGTATTGTGAATACTTAGATCACTTATGATTTACTGTGAAGACTTTCAAAAAAATTTTAATTTTCACCTAGATCTGAAATCTTATTTTCATAATTAGCCCAAACTAAGTACTTCAAGTTATTAAATTCTTCAATAATGACGACTCCTTTTTTGGGAGGGAAAGGGGTTGTGGAACACTGAGAATAAAACAGTTTAGAATATTTTTCTGGAAGTATTTTTTTGTGGAATTCAACCATTACTGAACCAAATTTTCCTCTAAAATTTTTGCTGAATATTAACCATATTTGGATGGCTGCATCAACAAATAGAGGTACCAATCAGGCTTGTAATGTAACACCTTCTGTGTTATTATCAAATACATATTCGGGTCAGAAACAGAGTATTATTTACTCTTGGCCTTACTCATTCATTCATGGTGGTTGTGGGAAATTGTTGGCTTGAAGTCGATGCTTCATTGAGAAGATTTAAATCTGAAGGTTGTTTGCCTGAGATGGGATGGTCATTCAGTGTAATAACCTTAGCAGGGCTGGTCAGCTATATCACAAAAAAACACACATATCCCTGAAAACAGATATCTGGCCTGAGTGATTCTCACCCATTTGGCTTAACAGGGAGATTAGAAACAGGCACACTGAAAATATGTTGATTTCTCATGGTCCACTTTGCTTTCTGACAGAAATGTTATTTATTATTTATCAATTTGCCTAATTTTGCATGGTTATAAGGATTTGTAGTTGTTATGCCAATAAGTCCTTTGTGTCTTGTAAACAGAATTTTAACTTTTAGATTGCATTAGCACAGTGGGGACTGTTACTGAAAAATTGATTTAAAGAATACTCTTCTTGATGAAAATAAATTTTCACACATATGGGAGTATACTCAGTTTTTTGTACAATGATGATCATTCCAAAATAGTTTTCTCACAGAGATAAACTTTGTACACAGGTTGTTTCACAGATGTGGTCTTTATACAAAGAATACTTTATGCAGATGGCCTTTATACACATGTTATTTGTAGGGGCAAATGTTAATGCACAGGTCATTTTGCGGAAGGTCTTAAACATGGTGTTTGTAGGGGTAGCATTTATAAAAAGGTTGTTATAGAGAAGTGACCTTAATACACAGGTTATTTGGCAGGTGGCCTTTATACACAGGTATTTTTTTCAGTAATGATTTCTTTAATTGGGATATTTTGCACAGGTGACTTTTTACACAGAACGTTTAATAGAGTTTACCTTGTAGGTAATTTTGTAGTCATACTACTTGTTTAATTGCATAATATGATATCATTTTGTTTAATATTCTTGTGTTTATGTGATAAAAGTGACCTTGGACAACAGTGACATTTATCAAAAAAGGGCTCTAATACTTTCTCATCATTAACCAGAGTTCTACAGTCTTTCCATCATATATACACAAGAGAAATTAACATAATTATCACTAGGCATTAGATAATAGATATGTATTGTATCAGTGACTTCCTGTTAAAACTTAACTTTGATGAACAAACTAATCACTTCAATCAGGTGATAAAAGATCAAAAAGATTTATTTCAACCTGGTTAATATTTATTCATGGTTTTAGCTTTTTGGAATGTCTGTGGGGGGGAAAAACGACTTGGAAAGATATCTTGATGAGAATTTGACTGAATGAGTAACTCATTCAGCTTTCTCAGAGTGGAATGTTCTCATTTGAAAAAGTTGATCTAGGTTTAAAATTGATTGAAAACCATTTGTGTAAAGAAAAGAATTTGTAGATAAATAGTCCTGTTGAGTTGCCATAAAGAGAACAGCTTTGTCTCAATCTTCAGGTTAAATTAGTACAGTTGACTGTTTTTACAACATATGTGTGTTGAATTAAGAATATCCTGTCAGGGTGCTCACATACCAGATTCAGTTTCGGTGAGAATTATGATATTGATGTTCTTGATTTTCCCTCGTCTCAATGCCTTTACATCTCCGTGTTAAAAGCCTGTGTTTAATGTCCTAATTATATTTATGATGTGACTAGTCCTTTGAGTCCTCTTTAAGGATTCTGTATAGCTTTGTAGGTAGAATCTGTTGACCATTACACAAATGGAAAAGAATCAGCTGGTAGGTCCTTCCTGGAGCCACCAGCCATTCTATCTTCACTAAGCAGTAAATGTTGGGTAACATCTGACATAGTTTGTCAATCAACAGTTCACTAAGGATTTTGTATAATTTGAGATTTTTAAAAAAATTACAGGATAAAGGATATTTTGGCTGTTGTGATGACTGATGCTGATTCTACTAATTTCAGCACGGGCAAGATTCTTTTCCGACTTCAAAAGTAACAAACAAATTTCAACTGGCAAAATCTGTTAACACAAGATTAGGTAGTTATAGTAAGGCTTTGAACTTGTTAAACTTGGGAGAGGCTTGAGAAAAAATAAAATGCCTTTCTTTGTATCATTGGTGAATTGTTCATTGGCCAATATAAATATTCTAGAGCTATCCACATAGAAACCTAACCATTATTATCTGGAGTACTGTGTACTGATGTAAAGACCTCAGCACCTATCTCTATTACATAATTGCAGTAGAGTGCTGGCTTGATTAGAACATTCAGAAAAACTCCACAATTTTACGGCTTGGTGTGATTTGATCGGTTTCTTCACAGAGAAATATCTATGATACAAACGTTTTTTATGACATCGTCCGACCAATTAACGCCAGATCAGTGTAAAACCTAGTAAAAATTTGTAAAAAGGTTGTGTATTCAACCTGAGCTTAATTCTAAGTGTTGGAGGTTTATAGACTGCTTGTAGCCAATTGGTACTTGATTAGCAGAGTTCACTGTTCAATGTAACGGTCTGCTTGCTGTGTACAAGGTGTTTTTGCCTTTCTCTGATGTAGGTAAGACTTCAGTAGGATTGGCCTGCCTTTCCACATTCTCCCTTGCCTTGGCTTGTCAGCTTCACATTATAAACAGTAAAAAATTGCTGAAGAATACAGTTTATTGGTACATATTTCAGTCATTTGATTGGATGGCTCCACTTTATTTCATAATATGATATAACAATGTTATCCTAACACTTTCCCCAATTCCCTTAGGTCCTTGTTTTACCACATCAGATAAAACTAGGGGAAAATTAATTTTGAAATAAAAAGGAATAAAAAGATTATAAATGCTACAATATCAAGAAATATATATTTCTGTAAAGCAAAAAAAAATGTGTACCTTCGAATGTAAAGTTTCAAGAAAAAAATTTGATTTCAGAAGTTATTGTAATGGATTTTACAATTTGTACAAAGTTTGCAGAGGAGTGTGGAAAGGTTATCTAGGTGTATACCTTTCCTTAGAGTAAGAGCTTGACCTGATAATAGAAACAGTCAGGTCAGCTAATATGTTCCTTCACGGGGTGTCATAAGTACTGGACAAAGACATTGGGTAATCAGCTGTCCTGGCCCTGGGTCAGAATGTCTCTGATATTTATAGAATTGACGGAGACAAAGGCACTGGTGGTATGTACCAGGTAACCACATCCGACGTCTAACAATAAAACTGCTTCATCACACGATATTATAAAGTATATGTTAAGACAATTTCTTTATTGTCATAACACAGAAACTTGCTTTACTGTACCATATGGACATTTGCATTGTTAAATTGTATATAGCAAGAGGCCCATTGTTAAATCGTATATAGCAAGGACCCATTGTTAAATCGTATATAGCAAGAGGCCCATTGTCAGTTCTCACAATTTCGTTAATACCATAGAAAATCATTGAAAAAATGCTTTATAATAATTAATCTTTTATTAAGGAATAGAAAATACAGTAATTTTATTTGTACATAATTTACAAAATCTCATAATTAAAATCTCTCTGCTGCAACTTTTATGTCAGTTTTCATTACAGTATTTGACAGAGATTAAAGAAATTTTTAAAAAAAATTTAATTGTTGCATTGGAAGTTAGTATCCATCAGATATTATTCTTTTAGATTTTGAATTTTTGTGTTGGTTTAATGTTATCACTTTCTAAGACAATTTCTGTGCTAAAGGTCAATTAGAATATCCTAATAAGATATGTAAGCTCTATGTTGATTCCATCTTTTTTAATTATACAAAGCTGCTTTGTACAATAGCACTATAATCAACTGAATTAAGTGATGTTACACCTCCACCAGGCCATGTTACACTTAATCAGGTTATGTTGCACCTTCACCAGGTCATGTTACACTTAATCAGGTTATGTTACACCTCCACCAGGTTATGTTACACTTAATCAGGTTATGTTGCACCTTCACCAGGTCATGTTACACCTCCACCAGGTCATGTTACACCTCCACCAGGTTATGTTACACTTAATCAGGTTATGTTGCACCTTCACCAGGTTATGTTACACCTCCACCAGGCCATGTTACACTTAATCAGGTTATGTTGCACCTTCACCAGGTTATATTACACCTCCACCAGGTTATGTTACACCTCCACCAGGCCATGTTACACCTCCACCAGGTTATGTTACACCTCTGCAGGTCATGTTACACCTCCACCAGGTCATATAACACCTCCACCAGGTCATATAACACCTCACCGGGTTATGTAACACCCACCTCACCAGGTTATGTTACACTTCCACCAGGTTATGTTACACCTCACCAGGTCATGTTACACCTCACCAAGTTATGTTACACCTCACCAGGTTATATTACACTTCCACCAGGTTATGTAACACCTCACCAGGTTATGTTACACCTGTCATAACAAATGTTTGTGTAATGAGTTATCTTACAATTGCCAAAGTACCTATTATTAAGTACTGCTTTGTGACACCTTGTTTATTCCTGATAATGTTTGGACAGAAGGACATAGATTCATCAGTTATCAAACATTGGATTTTTTATTCAGATCTGTGCTGCGATTATATTTCCAGATATCTGTGTCATTTGTATGTTTGCCAGATCAGTGTCATTGGGAATGATCCTGTGCTTCATAGATCTATGTCACTTCCATGCTTGATAGATTGTTGTCAGTTTTATTTTTTTATGCCAATTTGTTGTCTGATTTTAATTGTTTGCAGGGGCTGTGAGAAATCTGACATTTCCAAGCACCTGTTGATCCACGAGGAGCCTAAACATTTGTGTGAAGTTTGTAACAAGGCATTCAGACACATGAAGAACAAAGAGCTGCACCTCAAAAGGTCATTTTTACTTTGATGTCAAACAAAATTAGGACAGTCAGAAGTCTAAATAGCAATAATTCTGTTTCCGGGCACATTTAATGATTTGTCAGGACAGGTTTTAGAAAATGTATACCTGTAAGTTATATGTTGGTCTCAGTATTGTCCGCAATATGTTTAGTAATAAAGGTTCAATATAGTCTTGGCTAGCTTCTAGCTATAGACTTTATACATATTGATATAAAATCTCTTCTTGTCATCTTCACAGATTCTTAATAAAAATTTCATAGATATGAAACTGAAATGTATATCAGAATTGGTAAATTTTGGTTGATTTGTATTACAGGCACAATGGCCAACGAGACTACAAGTGTGGAGTGTGTGACTTCTATGGGTATACATTTACAGACATAAGGAAACACATTGAACGCAAGCATGCTGACATCAAAACCCTGGTCTGTGATAAATGTGGATCAGCCTTCAAATCCGAGAGCATCCTTAGGGTATTTACATTTGTTTTGTTTGATAATTTGGTATCATCTTCAGTCTGATCATCCAAAACAGCTTCCTAGAGTAATAATGTAAAGATATCTTCCATATATATTTGTATAATAACGGAACATAGATCATTATGATAACCCTTCACCTTGCTTTGCAGGAGCATCAGAAACAACAGTGTGAAGTGTTCATGATTGAACAGGCCCTGGCCATTGCCAATTCTGGAGGAGGTACCAGCCAGGCTACAATACAGATTCCCTCGTCTTCCTTCACCGTCGACGGATCACAGATCCTCATCGACGGCCAACAAATAGTGACAGAAGGCGGGGAACCTGTCAATATTACAGTTAAACGCATCTCAATGCCAGGTAAGTTTTGAAATACATGTAACCAAAGAACATTTATTGGACCTGATATGCTGCCATCTTCAATATGTATTGCATTATCCCAAATCTTTCTCATACCCTGGCTTTGTAGGCTCCATGCCATACTTATTATAAAAGACAAGCTTTAAATTCATATTCTCCCACCACTGGATACACAGGATACATATGTCCAATGTGGGATAACTTTTTCTCTTACAGGTACTTTTTACTGATGTGAGATTTCCTCGTCACTTACACTGGACAGGTAAATCCACACTTTTTACCGGTGTGAGATTTCCTTGTCTCTTACACTGGACAGGTAAATCCACACTTTTAACCGGTGTGAGATTTCCTTGTCTTACCCTGGACAGGTAAATCCATGATTTTTACCGGTGTAAGATTTCCTTATCTCTTACCTTGGACAAGTAAATCCACACTTTTTACCAGTGTGAGATTTTCTTGTCTCTTACCCTGGACAGGTAAATCCATGATTTTTACCGATGTAAGATTTCCTTATCTCTTACCTTGGACAAGTAAATCCACACTTTTTACCAGTGTGAGATTTTCTTGTCTCTTACCCTGGACAGGTAAATCCACACTTTTTACCAGTGTGAGATTTTCTTGTCTCTTACCCTGGACAAGTAAATCCATGATTTTTACCAGTGTGAGATTTCCTTCTCTCTTACACTGAAAGGTAATTCCACACTTTTTACCAGTGTGAGATTTCCATGTCTCACCCTAGTGTTGAGACAAGTATCACATGCTAATATGCATGTTAGGAAACAATTGAAGTGATGTCACTGACGTCATCAGGAAGTCAAACTACTTTTATGAGATCACACACATACACTAGTTTGTCTACTACTGAAATCTTGTGTTATCCTCGTAACTGAAATTCTATGTTATCGTCAAGATTTAAAATCATTTTAATTCACTACTTATTGTAAATATATATATATTTCAGATATCAAAAGTATCAAAGTTTATTTGATGTTTTATTGGTATGTTTACTAGCGATATATTGTAAGATTAAATCACAAGCCGTGAAACGTCTTGATACACAGGATTCATCACTGTTCATATACTGCCCACATGTTTTTGTTTACACACGATATGCTTGACCTTGCACACAGAGAAGGAATATTTGGTAAGAGAAAAATAATAATTCGCCCCCTTTATGGTGAAATGGAAAACAATTCTTAAGCTATCAAACATGTGGCAAGCTTGGTATTTCACAAATGATAATCCTCCCCCTTAGGTTAAGATCTCCCTTTCTCACCATAAAAGGTGAAAGATTCTATTGCTCACACATGGGTTTACTCAGTCCCACTGTTATTATGGCATAATGCGATGATGACATTACATTATGATGTTATATTCTACATAAAATGTACCTATATATTGTTGATTTATTCCATACTGTACAATTTATTTACAATTTATACAAGTCAAAAGCTTTTTTATGAGTATTTTACATTTTTAGTACGATAAGATTTTTCATGAAACTGACTAGAATGTCAAGATCTCGGGAGAATACCAATCAAATTGCATATCAAAGTTATCATTAAATTTTCATATTTGTCATTTGGTTTTCCCCTTATGAAACATGTCGCTTAAAACATCAAGATTCATAATCATAAGTTGTCTTGACTAACACTCTTATTTATTGACAGCTAGTCAAGGGTCAAAATACATTTCAGGTCTGTAAGCGTAGCCCACATATTTTGATATTCCTATGCATGGGTGTATTATGATAAGATAGTGTGCCAGAACACTCTATGTTTCCTCAATGAAAGTCAGTATAAAGTGAAAGCAGTTAAATGTCAGCCTTGTTTAATATTTTCCTGACAATAACTTCAATTTCTTTAATTTGTACGTTCACTTCAGCACTTTGACTGAAGTATTGGCTAAGGAAGGAATATAGAATAACCAAGGAATTCCTGTTCACACATGTCATGAACATAAACAAGACTACCTTATTAGAATACTCATGAACTATTTGATGCAGCAATGCACATGACAATAGATATTTATGTAATAAACCATTAAAAATTTCTTATCTTCAGTCATAGTTAACATTACTAGTCCACCTGTTCCAAACAAGTTATCTCCCCTGTACCATGAAACATCATAGATAATGATTGGGAAATCATTCTGCATGTATTGTTATAACAAATACGTTATGACAAACAACTCAGTGCACATCAAATGAAAGCATTCTCTTCTTGATCCTTTCGTGCAGATCAAATACATGATCAGTTGAGAAATTACAGAAAAATTTTCAGATAAAAAATTAATATAGCCTTAGTTTTTGTGTAGGAGTTACCTTTCCTTGGCCTGGAGAAATGTGAGTTCCCATGCTGTGGTGTACCGCTGATAACTAACATGTGTCATACTTAGATTATATGTACATATCATAGACACAAAAAATTTCTGTAGCATATGATAAATTGAGGTTCATAAATATTTACAGGTATAAATAGTTTGTTGTCATAGCAATTTTGTGCATATGGGCAGAATTCCCATGACATTTAGAAAATCTACACACTTTTTCCTTTGAAATTATGAATGAGTAAGTGTTTCTGGGAGATGAAAGCATTTTGGGGAGAGCAGACACATCACTGGAGGTGTGTGTGGATTACATAATACACTCGAAAGCAATTACTCCATTAACTTAACATGCAATCCAGGGGAAAAGAATTCAAAATCAATTTATGAACATTCAGATGAGTCAGTTGGCCTCTTGCTTAGGCTGATACAGTAAACAGATTATAGATAAAAATGACAAACTTTTGTGCAGTTTTTGTTGCATTGATGAATTTACATTTGACCCATTTTCGTTTTAAGCTGATAAGGCATTATTGTGAAATGTTGCTACCAACAGGTGGGAGGTGTATTTATATATAACCTGACACGGACATAGCACTCCCCTTTCTGGGAACGCTACAAATGTATTTATAGAATTACAGTGTCCTGTGAATTCAGGTTCATTTTATAGAAGTTTACATTATAAGTAGTGTTCACTATGTAGCATTATAGACCAGCTCAGTAGACAGGAATATAACTGACAATGTCCATGCCTGGTAATGAACCCCTATCCACATCTAATGCAGATTTATCATCACCCTAGTTTAAGGCCACCTCCCAACTTTCAGTCAAAGTTTATGCATTAATCCCTTTGGCTTATATCAGAATGAACACAATAACCTATATAATTACTGTGCTGTTCCTTCTGCCAATCTGTTCTAGATTTCATTACAAAATGTCTTATGAATAAATTAAGTTGATATGTTCACCATTGTATTGTAATAGATTTGCTTATTATTGGTTATAAAGGTTAAGGAGTCAAAGATCACACTTCACTATTTTGAAGTCAAATTTCTACAAGATGTCTCACGAGCACCTTAACAAATTTTGGTGCCAAAGTTAAAGGATCAAAGGTAAAATTTGACCATTTTTTTTTTTTTTTTTCATCAGATAGTAAGCTATACAATTCACTCTTTGTCCTTTAACAATAATTGTTATAGCTATTTCTTGAGAAGCTTTGGATGGATCCTTCTCAAATTTTATGTGTAGGGTCACAATCGCCTAGCTGTGTTTAGTCCATTTTGAGACTGATCCAAAAAACAAGATGGCCAAGAAGCACAATCTTGGTTTTTAGCAGTCAGAGTTTGTGAGAAGTATTTGATGGATCAAACTCCTATTTCAAACATAGGTTTACCTTCGCCACAAGTTTTGCACAACTCATTTTGAAATTGATGAGAAAAAACAAGATGGCTGACAGTTGGCCATCTTGGTTTTAACGGTCATAGCTTTTTATTGTTATTTCTTGAGGAGTACCAGATGGATCCTTGGTCCCTAGTTGTGCCTTTTTGATTTTGGGACTGATCAGACAAAGAAAATGGCTGATAGGGAACCATCTTTGATTTGGCAGTGAAAGATTATTATCACTGTGCAAAACACAGCAGAAAGAATACAAAAAAAGGGGAAAAGATAAACTTTTTAAAGAGTAAATGAAAATAAACAATGGCCGAGTCTGGGATTTTTTATTTTTGATATCGTTATTTACTAATATTTTGTTAAAAGGTTTCTTTTTTCTGAAGTATTCATTTTATAAAAATGTTGTAAATTTATATTAGACATGATCAAAGTGCTAAAAATTGAAATATTTTATCAGAACTTAGCATAGCTTGCATAGGGTGGCTTCTGGTTTTTCCAATTACCTGTGCAGATTGCATATCGTAAATCTAGGTCATCTTCACCTAATTTTTTAAGATATATATATAATGTTGTTGACTTTGTACAGTAATTATTCTATAAGATTCGCTGCAGATAGTATTTCTGTGGATGATGTCACAAAATCAAGAAATAAATCAAATAAACAAATCAGCTCCCATTAAAAAATACAGCCATTATCTATAAGATATGTTGAGGTCAGATTTTTCCACCTCCAAAGCTGATGTGTTTTTCTTGCTATTTCATGTCCTTGGGATAGATTAGATCATTGATTGAGTCCTCTGATAGTTGTAAAAAATAGGAGGACTTGTATAGAGAGGCCTACTGTTAGGAGAGGGAGGATGTCTCCTTGTACAAACATACCTTAACACACAACCTGTCACTCCCTTCCAATAGTGTTTATATCAGTTGCTCAGTAGAAATAGTGAGTATAAAGAAGTATTGGATAGTGTGTTTTGAATACCTTTCCCTGTGAAAGCAGGTATGCTTCAAATCTTAGTGTCATTCATATCACAATAATGACATAATCTTCTGCTTTTATGCACATTTCTTCAAAGGAATTTAAGTCCAACTTCTTTTTACAGGTAGTGTAAATAGGTGTGATTTAGGTAGAATATCTGTGTCTCTATGCAGTTTGTACAGAAATATCTGAACTGAAATAAGAATGGATAGTCATATATGTGTATACTTTTTTGAAAAAAGTCTTCAGTATTACAAGTGATCAATGATTTTAGACTTGATATCAACTATACACTGGACTCAAGATA